AAAGACAATACTACCAATTCAGGATTCTGGGACCATTTTGTGCTAGAAGTAAGCAACCTGATATATCTGTTTGGCTCTTTGAGGACAGTGCATAACTAACATCAATAATGATGACTCATCAAGCAAAGGTTAAATTCTCATTGACTGTGTCCTGCTTAAGAAGGTGGTACAGATGGGCGCCTGGTGGCTCAGGTGGTTAAGCGTCTGTCTTCGGCTCGGGTCGTGATCCCAGGGTCCTGGGATTGAGACCCGCATCGGGCTCCCTGCTAGGCCGGGAGCCTGCTTCTCCCTCTCCCTCTGCCTCCCTCTCTCTCTCTGACTCTCATGAATAAATAAATAAAACATTAAAAAAAAAGAAACTTAAAAAAAAAGTGGTACAGATAATACATATATTAGTTTCTATTCAAAATGATTATAAAACACAAAATTATGTGCTTAAGAGAGCCCTAGCCATCTGAGGAAAAGAAAATCACTGTTGTAACACCTTAATTACAAACATGGATAAAGGGAGCATTATTCAGTTTTTTATTTTATTGAGACATTATTATGGTCTTCAATTAATGGTGGTTCTGAACAACTTTGCTCTGTTTTCCCTTACCTTTGGACCTTAATGGCTTTCACCTAATTGTTAGTGATACATAAACACATATTAAAGTGTGCTAAAAGAAATCTTCAGTGACTCTCTTAATAATTTGAATAATCTACCCTATTTGTAGGCACTAAATATAGACTGAGGCACTAAAATATACCTGTTCTGTGCACAGACCAGGAGTACATCTGATGATTCTTTATACTAGGTTCTATAGAATTTTTTTCTCTGGAGTAAATAGCTTAATATCTATCCATGGCCTATTCTTGAAGAATCTTCCATCCTTCAAATGGTGGTGAGATGTAAATCTTAATCCTTGGAAGTTTTTCAGGCAATAGTCTAAAAAGTGTTTGAAAATCAGAATAATTTCCTATCCAGTATTCATATTTTTAGGGCTCCAAAACAATCTAAATTTAAGAAATAGGGGGTGATTATTCAAAATATCTGAAAATTCAATGTAGGGTTTCTTTTACTAAGCTTGCATATATATTACCAAATGGAATTGTTTAACATAATTAAAAAACCAGGTGTTAAAAATTTAAGCACCTATTTTGTAGTGTTGGCCTGGTTTATGCCAGTGGTAGAGATTATGGTGAGGAAAGCGAATTGCATTTTTCTCTAAAACACTATGTGGACCACAATTTAAAACAACAGAAAACACTTAACATGTGGACCAAACAAAACATAATGTGCCATTTAGCATCCTTACAGAAAAGTTTCTTACTTCAGAGAGAAAAGGGTCAGATAGAGCTTTTCAAGTAAATGATATGGGGGAGATTTTCCCCTAACGGGTGTGAATTCCCTCTCCACTGATAGAGCTGTGAGCCTCCCTCTCTGAAAGGAAGTATTTGCTCCTGCTCTTTGGTAAACTTTTTAGAGTGTGCCTTCCTCCTTAATTTTGTATTCAACACAATTTTGTATATGCCTCCCCTCAACTAAGGTGTCTTTTCCAGGCCTTTACTTTCTTACAACTATCTCAAAGGAAAAAGAAATGTGTATGATGGAATGATTTTATTAATAGTGACTGGTAACCCTTCTAATAGAAAATTTATGGCTTTGTTGCACAGCAGAAAATTTAAAGAATGTGGAGTCAGAAGACCAATTATGTTACCTTCCAGCTTTTGTATTTTTGTCTAGGACTTTTACCACTCTGAATTCGTATCTGTGAAATACCTTGCATGGTCCAGAGCATTTTAGTGAGGTCCAAATATGAAATATATGAAAGTACTCTAAAATGTAGTATTTTCGTTGAAGAATTTTAGGTTAAGGTTTGAGATCTGAGGGGGTGGGAAGTGGGGAACAGAAAAATATCTGCTGCTTCAGAAAAGACCGTAATACATTTCTTTTTTTTTTTTTTTGCTTCCAAAGGTCATTTCTTCATTTGATATGATGATGTATTTTAGTGCTTTGTGCCTGCAAATTTCAAGACACCTTCATCTAAATATCTTCAAGACTTCATATCATGAAGCACCTGAACAGGTTCACAAGCATATTGACTAATAGCCCAAGGAAAAGAGGAGAAGCAGTTAGGGGAACCTATGAGTGAAGGAAATTCCCCTTTGCAGGAGGCTAGTATACAATAAATAAGGTTATATTTGAATATAAAATATTAAGTCCTATAGATTCCATTATGTTTATTTCAGTTATGAAGCCCTCATTGCATATCAAAATTTTGATCACAGGTATTATCAGAGTATTACAATCTATAAATTAGTTAAAAACAAAATCAAAGGAAAAAATTCAATTTTCTGAGGACAAGAAAGTAAACCTCTAGTTCTAAAGATCAGTCTGTCTCAAAAATCTTTATCAGGTACTCGGGGTTTTCATTGCTAAAGGATTACATAAAAATTCAGGGCTTTAAAGGATTTTAGCCATCTTAAGGCTGATGCTTACTTCAATTGCAAAAAATTGACAAGTGAGTTCATAATACTGCCTAAGTGCATGGATTGTAATACTGTAATTACTGAGTCAAATGATGTTATAAGAAATGGTGTTTTTTAATTAGCCATTTTTCAAGTTATGTTAATTACTATCATATAAAAGGAAATACTTGTTTGCAACTAGAATTTAAAAGGGCTATGGGAATTTTTTATAATTTAGTAAAAGGAATTTGTCTTACCAGTTCAGAAAAACAAATGAAATCTTTATACATCATTCCCTGATATTCTAAGTTTCTGTCACAAAAAAAGTGGACATTAAAGATCCCCTTTTATGAAACATAAAAAAGTAGCTAAAGCAAGGTTGTTATAAGAAAATTAGTAATTTGTGGGGTGCCTGGGTGGTTCAGTTAGTTAAGCGTCTGCCTCTGCTCAGGTCATGATCCCAGAGTCCTGGGATCAGCCCAGGTTTTCAGGCTCCCTGCTAAGCAGGGAGCCTGCCTCTCCCTCTCCGCCTACTCATTCTCCCCCTACCCCCACCACCTCCTGCTCTCTCGCTCACTCACTCACTCTCTCAAATTCTTTAAAAAGAAAATTAGTAATTTATGACAACATGGCAAAAATACCTTCCCTTTAGACTATCAGCCAAAGTTATCTCAAAAAGACGATTCATGAGGAAAGGGGGATAATATAAATGTCAGTCATCCCATCACCAAATACATTATGTACTGATTCTTATCTTTCCACTCTCACTTAAAAGTATTTATGTTAATCATTATGAATATTAGAACTATTATAAGGATCTTTGTGACTCAGACTCCGCGTCTTACCTTATTTTTAATTTTGTCTAACAGTTCTGTAGACCATAAGCTATATGATGAAATAATCAAAAAAAAAAAGAGTAATGAACACATACTATAGCTTAAGCAATAAAAAGGCATATTGAAAAAATAGTGAAAGTTGATATTCCTTGAAAGGAAAAAATATGTGAATTAAGTATACAGAAACCACTCCGGAGTACTTATTTTGCTTCTAACTTTAACTCAAACACAGATAGAACTTTTTCAAGTGTTTGAATGATACTTGAGATTTATATTCCAACATAAACTTTGGCTTTAAAGAAGTCTTTTACAAAATTAGGAACTGGCTCCTTAATGTTAGATATTCATTAATTTCTTCCTATATAAGTTGTCGTATTAAAAAAAAAGAGATCAGTATGGACTTCCTTTTTAAAACTTGAAAACCTGCGGCACCTGGGTGGCTCAGTCATTAAGCATCTGCCTTCGGCTCAGGTCATGATCCCAGGATCCTGGGATCGAGCCCCACATCGTGCTCCCTGCTCAGTGGGAAGCCTGCTTCTCCCTCTCCCACTGCCCCTGCTTGTGTTCTGTCTCTTGCTGTCTCTCTGTCAAATTAATAAATAAAATCTTAAAAAATAAATAAAAAATAAAACTTGGGAAACCTTAAAACTAAGGTAAAGGTGGGTTATAGGGGCAAAAATTAGAATTTACAACATGAAAAAACAGATGAAAACCAATCCTCTCCTAATGGGGATATTTTTTGTTTTGAATGATTCAATGAAAGCAATTTCAGCAAAAAATAAGTTTAGCTGACATATTTCAAACAAATGCTGAAATGATTTAATATTTATTAAATCTAGTGTTTCATGTTATTCTATGTTTAAAAAATGCAGATTTTTAGTAACAAGGTATAAAGTTAACTGTTCAAGTTTGGAAATGAATGTAATCAAACTTCCGTATTACTGAATATTAAAACTGAAAAACAATATTTTCTAGGTAATTTAAAGACAGATGTGAAGTATTTAAACCATAAGTAATTAAGTATGTTAATGATATGCTTTTAATCATTACTAAGGGCATGTGTCATTTAATTGTGGACCAAGCCCAATTAAACGCATTTTGAGGTCTTTGTGGAAATGACATAGTCACAAATCCATGTCTTAAAACTGATATTTATATATCTTGTTTGGTTTTCTTAATGGTTTTTAGTAGTTTAATTTATTTCAGAACACAAACTTGGGTTGTTTTTAATAAATTATGTAAGTCAATAGAATAGATTTTCTTTTGAAGTTAGAATTGGCTGTGTAACTTAAGTATATACAGTAGAATGTACATATAACATGTATTTTGTATATTTTTTCTCAAAGAAGAACAATGTAACCTTCTATAGTCCCTTTGGGACTAATACAAATACACTAAAGAAGCCAAAACCTGAAATTAAATCATCTTTATTGCTAAAAGTTAATTGACAAGTATTAAAGAGAAAAATTCACTATTAACTATTAAAGAGCTGGAAGCTTGGTATATATAATTTAGGAATTGCTACTACTCACATAACTGTTCAGCTTTATGTGAAGGTTAACAGAAGGAGGGTTCTTGCACTTAAGCTAACAATTAACAGGATGTATTATTTTAAACTAGAAATTTTAAACCACTCAAAGAATTACATGCCTCATAGCTAATGTTATAATTGTATCATATTACTTAGGTTCAAGTTCTTCCTTCAAAGAGTCATCAGAATAACATGGATTGAAGAGACTTTCGAACACTTGCCATCTCTTGCTGCTGCTGTTACATGAAAGGAAATATTAAACATTTGTTTAATTTTTAGATAAGTGTTATACATATTTCAGCAAATAAAATATTTCAATGCTTGCATTACTCATTTTTTTCAATTTAAAATTACTTACAGTTTCCATCATAATTTTTTTTTGCAACATAGCCATTTCTTTTCTAAGTTCATTTTGTGCACCAGTAAGTAGATTATCATGATTTTTCTCCAAGTCCTCCATACTCTAAAACACAGAAGGCTAGTTCAGTTACAAACTACCACTTTTTATCTCAGATTCTAAACTTGAAGAATTAATTTTCAAAAGTAGGAACTTTTTAGTATTCAAATAATTATTTTTTATTCCAAATTAAAATATTTTAAGTAATAGTGGAAACCAAAATACCCATAAAGGAATATAAGCATCAGACATGGATCAAATATTATAGGAAGTATAAGAGTAGTGTATTTTGCTCAAAATAATGGGTTAATGAGCTGCTAAGGTCAAAATAGAACAAATAAAATACTGTAATTTTTAAAATTTCTAATAAGCTTTCTAAATATCAGGTAGTTATTATGACTAATTGTCAATGTGATGCGAATTCATAAGAAGGAATAAAATGATCTGTAATATACTTTTTCAATTTATGAAAAACAAATTATGTTATAAATCTTTATTATTATCTAACAAATAGTGACTTTAACCTACTATATAAAAAGTATATTAAGTGTTGTGGAGAAATTAAAAAATATTAATACATGATTCACTCCCTTATTCTAGTAAGAAACATATAAACAGAAATAATGCAAAATTTTATAGTAGGAATGGAAATGCAACTTGTGACTACATAGTAGAAAATAGGGATTGATTCCAATTTAGTTGGCAAAGAGTAAGAAAAAGTAATTAAAAGTATTTTAGAGTAAGAGCATAAGTAAAAGCATGGAAGTACACAATCAGTAAGTTTAGAGAAGGCAATTATCTGGAGGGGCGGGAGTTACAGAACAAATGTTAACAATTGAAGCATAAAGAGAGAAAGAATCACATTATGGGAGGGTACCAGAATACCTAAGAACTGAAAATGAGTAACTATTGACTTTTTCAGGAGTGAAGATAATATGACCGACCTTCATGAAGGGTAGTTTGGAGAATAGAAAAAAATCAGTTGAGGTTTAATAGTATAAGCAAAGAATGATGCGGTTGTAAATAGGATAACAGCTCTGGGAATTAAAAAAAGGAACCACTGCCGAAGTAAAAATTACAGGGCCTACTAATAACTGGATATGAAGAATAAGGGAAATGTAGAAGTCAAATATAATACTCAAGTTCCTAGCCTAAGTGGTAACATTTAGTGATAAGATTTAGAAGAAATCTTTTTTAGTACTTTATCAATCTTCACACCAATTAAATGGTTTTTAGGGAGCATTAGAGCAAGCCGATTGGAAACACTTTTAAAAGTAACTCTGGTATACATACATATTAAGTTTCTTTAAAAATAATCGGTTTAAAACCACTAGTTTATTCAGAGCATCCTGATTCCTTTAAAAGGGTGACATTTTAACATTTGAACAAGATTATCTAAAGGAATCCCCACATCAAAAAAAAACAAAAGTATGTGCAGGATTCCAATGAACTATAAACAGTTACTAAAAAAATATATATCTGCATAAGTAAGAAGTCAGTGTCAAAAACCACAATTCGCTAATATGCATATGTGTCAGATAATTCTCAATCCACAAGTTTTTAATCCTCTCGCTTTTTCATTCTATTGTAAGTCTGGGCCATCTCTTATTATAAGATGGCATATAAAGCCATTTTTAGTCACTGTAATAATCCTAAAAGGAAATATGCCATAAAATACATATGTATTACATTAGAAAATAAAAAATATTCCTCATTTTCAATTGGGTACTTTCTATTTAGCAAACACTGGAGATATAAAGTAAAAGACTACCTAGAAATGACTCATGGACTTTCTATTTTCAGTTAAGACAGAACTATTAAAGTATGAATTTTATGCACATTATATACATTTAGATAAAATTCCCAATTTACCATTTGCTGTTTTGAAGAATCCCCACAAAAACATTGGAATCATAAAGTAAAAATATATTTAACACTTAAATCAAAATGGAAAGTAGTTAAGAATTTAAAATATATAAGCAAAATGTTTTTTCCCTTAAACTTAGAAGGAAAAAATTTTCTTCTACTTCCAAATGTAATGTTATATAAGAATGTATTACATAACCAAATACAACAGACCTTTATGAACTGCTCATATAACTGTCTAATTGTTTTCAGTCTCTGGCTCTGAACAATTCTAGATTGTTGAAAAACCTTTTGTTGCTGTCGAAACATGTTCTACAAATGTAAAAGAAAAAAATTTAACAATTTGGGTAAAATTTAAAGTTTAGTAAAAAATAATTCTACATTAAACTTAAAAAAGAATGGTTTTTAAACCAACAGTTTTAACTATTATGACCAAGTTCATCACTAATATACAATAATAATCCTACCAGTCATTTAGTACGAACACTTAACAATACTCAAAATAGTTTTGTTTTTTTTTAACGTAGGCTCTATGCCCAATGTGGAGCCCAACACAGGGCTTAAACTCACAACCCTGAAATCAAAGAGTCAGACACTTAGGGACCCCTGCGTGACTCAGTTGGTTAAGCATCTGCCTTCAGCTCAGGTCATGATCCCAGAGTCCTGGGATCAAGTCCCACATTGAGTTCAGCAGCAGACTCCTTGCTCAGCAAGGAGCCTGCTTCTCCCTCTGCCTGCATCTTTCCCTGCTCATGCTTGCTCCCTCGTTCTCTGACAAATAAATAAAATCTTAAAAAAAAAGAAAAGAAAAGAAAAGAAAAGGAGTCGGACGCTTACCTGACTGAGCCACCCAGGCACCCCAACAGTACTCAAAATATGTTTTAATTCTTGGTGTTTTCCGTATCAACATGTATGATGCTTCCAATAATGCTGATCTTTCAGTTTCTTGGCCTACTTTCCACCAATGGTTTTGTCCCCCACCCTACTTTAGCCATTCACATACATGCTCATATCCTAGATTTTGTCATTGCCAATAACTACAACTTCTACATAGTATTAACAATAGAAAATGTCATATTAACTGTTAGACACCACTCTGAATTCTTTTTATTTATTTATTTAAGATTTTATTTATTTGACAGAGAGAGACAAAGCAAGAGAAGGAACACAAGCAGGGAGTAGGAGGGAGAAGCAAGCTTCCCACAGAGCAGGGAGCCCTGATGTGGGGCTCGATCCCAGGACCCTGGGATCATGACCTGAGCCGAAGGCAGACACTTAACAACTGAGCCACCCAGGCGCCCCTGAATTCTTTTTAAATAAACATACTATGTATGAATGCATTTAATCCTCAACCCTATGAGGTAGTTATTATTACTCCCCTTTCATAGATAAGGAAACAGACATAAAGATAATTTTTCCAGTTTCACATCTAGCATTTGGGCATACCAGGATGTGATTCCAAAGAGTATGTTTCCAGAATCCAGGTCCTACCACTCATTATTCACGCTGTTTCTCCAAATAGCCCACTATTCAACCACTACCTGCCTACCCTTCTGGATCACTCTTAGTACTACAACTCAGTAATCTACCAATACCTAAAATCTACTCATTCTATACCTAGTTTTCATTGTCCCCTATCCCTATTCCCATGTCCTCACTTTCTTTCTTCCCAGCTTAAATTCTATGGTCAATCATAATTACTCCTTTCATATATATATCCTGCCCTATTCTTACTCTGTCACACTTGTCTGGCTAAACCCCAATCCTGGAAAATTCAACTCTCCAGCTACTCTGCCTACATCCCTGCAGCTGGTCACGACTGGAGAAAAGCCCACAGTTACGCTGGTATATCTCACTTTAAATTGTAATCACTGTGATCACAAGCCTAACTTCGATCCTTAATGCTGCTTGGAAATTTTATCTCCCTAGTCCATTCACTGATCCACTCAAGAAAAGTATTTTATACCTTCTCATTTGACCTCAAAAGGCAACATGTTTTTTCTATCATCCAAGGACCTTAATTATTTCACTAAAGAAACACAAGTAATCCAAAGAGAACTTTGAATCTTCATCACCATTTCTACCTTCATACCTACTTCTGTGCTCACATAATCTACCTTCTTCCCTGTTTTTAAGGATGAACTATCCTTGTTCTCTGCTACCACCAATTTCTTCATATGTTCCAACCATTCTAAGAATTCAACAACTGTCCTCCTCTTTCCATTGCTTTTTACTTTTCCCTCAAGATTATTCTTGTTAGCACACAAACATGTTGCTCTTTCTACATTCTTAAACGAAAACCACACACTATTCCTCTTCTCCTCAGGCCACCACCCTATTTCTTTCTTTCCTATTCTCTCTTATACTCATTCTACTCAAGTTTTTGCACTCCCTCTTCTACCAAAATCATTCTGATCAAGAATGCCAACAACCTTCACATTGCCAAATCCACCCTATTTCACCCACTGCAGCATATAACAAAGTTAATCCTCTCTCCCTCTTAAAAAGCTTCCTTGACTTCACTTGGAGTCATTTTTTTCCTATTAGGTCACTCATTCTCAGTCTCTTTTACTGGTTCTCTCTCATCTTCTTGAACTCTAAACACTGAAGGACTTATTCCAGAACTCAGTTCTTAGACCTCCCTTTTACATTTACAATCACTCCCTTGGTGATCTCATCCAATCTCATGGCCTAAATGCTGTCTTTATGTTGAGAATTCCCAATTTTGTATGTCCAACTCATCTCTTTTCAGAACTCTAGACTCCTATACCAATGGCCTACTCAACACATTCTCTTGGATGTTTCATATTAACATTTCCAAAACTGAGCTGCCCAACCAACCCCTAAAATTATTTAATATGAATAGTACCTGAGATCTTAAGTAAGAAATGTGATAATTTTATAAATGAAAGAATAAAATGATAGTTAAAATGTAGTTACATAATGTATGGGTGGTGCTCACTCCCATCTCCCATAGAAATGGGCATGTAACACAAGTCTGGCCAAGTAAGAAATGTGATAATTTTATAAATGAAAGAATAAAATGATAGTTAAAATGTAGTTACATAATGTATGGGTGGTGCTCACTCCATCTCCCATAGAAATGGGCATGTAACACAAGTCTGGCCATTAAGAGTAAAGCATGCTTTGCCATAATGACTGGTTCAGGAATGGGCAAATGATCCAACCTAGATCAGTGATATTCCTCCAGAGGGCTTTTCTTTCTGCCAGTTATCGAGCAAAACTATCTTTCTGCTAGTTATTGAGAAAAACCCAGTCCACTGGGGTTACTAAACTTGTAGTAAGTTAAATTTCAAGAAGCTATCTTGCTTACCACACTGAAAGAGGCTATTAAGAACTGGAGACAGAGGGACACCTGGGTGGCTCAGTTGGTTAAGCATCTGCCTTCAGCTCGGGTCATGATCCCAGGGTCCTGGGATCAAGTCTTGCCTGCTTCTTCCTCTGCCTCCTACTCTCTTTGCCTGCTGTTCCCCCCTGCTTGTGCACTCTCTCTCTCTCTCTGACAAATAAATCAATCTTCAAAAAATTAAATAAAATCTTAAAAAAAAAAGAACTGGAGACAGTGCCCAAATGACACTGTATAAGCAATTCTTCCTTATACCCATCCAGCTATGCCTGAAGCTTAACTACCCCTGGACTTCTTTTATATAAACTAATAATCCTTCTTTTGTACTTTGATAATTTGTCACTTGGAACTGCAAGAATCACAACCAATATAGGAAGCAAAGGCCAACAATTTTTTTAAGTATGGTGTGTGCCTGTAATTCTCTGGTTTACCATTCAGCAGGACAAAACACATAGCCGGCATGGGAAATGGAACCTAGCTGAGTGTCACAGATCTACTACACAGCTAGGCTCTCCATTCCTACTTGACACTTGGTTATAATTGATTATAAAATTAAGTGTGATACTAACAGCTAGTTTTTCTTCTTGTTCCTCAGCTTTCTGCACATCTATATCCCACTGCTGAAACAAAGTCAGAAACTGCTGAGAATATTCTTGGTTAAGCTTCTGCCTGTAAAACGTAACAATGAATATTTTCATATTTTATACCAAAACATTCAAAACAATTTATTTGACATACATTATAAATACTAAAGGAAATAATGGCATCTTAAATTTTCAAATATGAAACCAAAATGTAAAATTATGATTTATGCTGATTTTAGAAGTATTTCTTTTCCTAAGCAGCTAACAGAAAAGCCCTCTCACATGCTTTAGTTCCTAAAAACTATGGAAGTTTTATTATATATGTAACTTTTCCAGAAAAGTCCATTTCATCTCCAAGCAGTTTTTTTTTCCCAACCAAATATAGGTTCCGATATGATAAACAGATTCAGTGAAGTTATTATGTTTATCATGTAAGATTTCCAAACAAATATTCCACTTAATTTTTCCCCACTTTGGTACAATGATTTTGTAAAAAAGAACAATTAAGTCAATTCAGCTAAAACACACAGATGTAATATTTACAATAAGACTGATCTTTTTCTACATTGTTAAGCAGGTAACTATCACAAGGCTAATAATTTATATGACATTTCATTTTTATTCAGTTGGTGCATTTCTAGAATGAATATGAATAACCTTTAGAGTAAAAAACTCAATTGTTATTTAAATGGAGAAAAAGACAATCTGCACTGATTTCTAAGAAATATATCTCAAGTCTATGAAGGTTATAGAACTAAAGGACTTAAAAAAAAATCAAGCCAAATATATATTTTACTAGAGACCCTGATAAATAGAAGATGATAGTATTTTTCATAATTTACAGCAATGAATACTAAGAAATGATACAGATGTCATGGCTGTGAAAAAAACCAACGACCTTACCTTTGCTCTTGTTGGGTTTTCCAAACATGTTCAATTTTCTGATTACTAGTTTTGAGAGAAGCCTTTGTATACAATTCTAGTCTTTTTCTCTTGGCAAGAAGAGCCTTGTTAATGTCAGCTTTATCAAAAATAAACATTCATTAAAACTTGTTGAAAATTATTTTGTTCCCACACATTCAAATTAAATAGGGATATAGTTGGTTCAAGTTTTGGAAAGACATTTAAAAAAAAAATCTTAGGGATGCCTGGGTGGTTCAGTAGGTTAAACCCCTGCCTTTGGTTCAGGTCATGATCCTGGGATCAAGTCCCGCACTGGGCTCCTTGCTCATGGGGAAGCCTGCTTCTCCCTCTGCCTGCTGCTCCCCCTGCTTGTACTCTCTCTCTCTCTCTATCTCTCTCTTTCTCTGACAAATAAATAAATGAAATTTTGAAAAAATTTATATTAAATCTTAAAGTAGGTATAATATTAAAAAGCAAGATTTTGTTTTTTTTTCCTAAGAAACCTTTCAGCTATTAGTATCCCTATTTTGATTTTCCTAACTAAAGTTTTTAATTTAGAGATGACTGAAAAAAGCTAACCACGAAAAAAGAAAGGGGAGTCTCAAAGACAGACCTTTAACTTCCTCATGAGAGAACACTAATAAAGGCTAAATTTTTCTAAATTTGTAAAATACTCTCCAAATCAAATAACTCATGTAGATGAGTTATTGCTAGAACTCATCATATGAAACACACAAAATTATTTTTAAAAAGAATCCAAAAAGGGGTGGCTCAATTGATTAAGTGTCCTCCGTGGGCTCAGGTCATGATCCCAGGGTTCTGGGATGGAGTACTGCATCAGAGCTCCCTGCTCAGCGGGGAGTCTGCCTCTCCTGCCTCTCCCTCTGCTTGCCACCCTCTCCTCCCCTTGTGCTCTCTCTCTCTCACAAAAATAAATAAAAAATCTAAAAAGAATCCAAAAAGGATAAAAACAGTTAAATAAGAAAATTATTTTTAAAAAATACAGTCCATGATACTTTTAAATATGATTTTTACCAAGAGATAAAAACGAAGCATAGGAAAATCTTAAGTAAATATCTTGATAAATTCATTCAAGAACCTTTTTAAATACTTTTATAGAACTTTTTTTTCCTGGACTTACTAAAAGAAAATTTTTTTCTTACTGAAGTATAGTTGACACACAATGTTATACATTAGTATCAGGTGTATAACAATGATTTCAGCTTTTTTTTATAGGACATTTTTACCCATAAGTACTGTATTTCACAAAATTTTTAATACTTCAAAAAATGCTTTGCTAAACACATGCCTATGAATCTACCATCAATAATTATTTTTCAGTAATCATGATGGATTTGTATTACTATACAAATACGTTATATTTCTAATATCCACCTGTGATAAATTTAGAAGAAAGATTACAAGACAAACATTTTTCTGCCACCAAATAGAGCAAAGCTTTCAAAAAAGACTTGACTGAATAAATAATCCGGATAGAGGAGCCAAATATTAACTCTTTTTTAAGAATACTATCCCCTGGGGCACCTGGGTGCTCAGTCAGTTAAGTGTCCCCCTTTGGCTCAGGTCAAAATCTCCAGGTCCTAGAGATCACATTGTGTTGGGCTCCCTGCTTGGCAGGGAGTCTGCTTCTCTCCCTCTCCCTCTGCCCCTCCCCTGGCTCATGTGTGCTCTCTCTCTCTCTCAAAGAAATAAATAAAATCTTTTAAAAAAAGACTACTATCCCCTAACACAGTTAATGTAACTAATATCAAATATACCATGTAAGGTTTAACTTTTTTTTTAAAGATTTTATTTATTTATTTGTCAGAGAGAGACACAGTGAGAGAGGGAACACAAGCAGGGAGAGTGGGAGAGAGAGAAGCAGGCTTCCCGCAGAGCAGGGAGCCTGATGCAGGGCTTGATCCCAGGACCCCGGGATCATGACCTGAGCCGAAGGCAGACCCTTAACGACTGAGCCACCCAAGCGCCTCGGTTTATTAACTTTTTATCTGATTATGTATTTCTTACTAGCTAGCAGGGTTACTTTTCTAAATTACATAATGTAAAACATTACAATAAAGAGGTATTTTAAAGGGTTCTATTTATCCTGCCCCTAAGAAAAGAACACAGGTGGGGCACCTGGGTGGCTCAGTCGTTAAGCATCTGCCTTCAGCTCAGGTCATGATCCGGGGGCCTGGGATAGAGCCCTGTATCAGGCTCCCTGCTCCGTGGGAAGCCTGCTTCTCCCTCCCCCACTCCCCCTGCCTGTGTTCCCTCTCTCTTTGTCTCTCTCTCTGTCAAATAAATAAATAAAATCTTTAAAAAAAAAAAAGAACACAGGAATGTCATAGAAAATAAATTGAGAAAATGAAAAACTGACATATATAAAGATATGTGTGTTTTTAACACTTGGTCCATGAGTTTGTGAAAGTTCATACAAATAGGGATAGAGACATTCCCCTTCCATTTTTTTCTAAAATTGCACAGTTCTCTAAATTCACACATACATAAAATAAAAACACCATTCTTACCTCACCATTGTTAATACCATTCTTACTCTTCACGTTGACAACTGGAGAAGATTAAGGAAATCTATGTAGCTGAATCACACATACTTAGGCAAAATCTTATATATGAGGACAAAGCATTAGGTAACAGTCTTATAGTCCACTGATTAACATTTCCTATTACAGATTATGTGTTGTATGGTTTAAAATAATTATCTCAAAAAACAAATATCTCCTAAAACATACCTCCAAATCTTTCCAGCATATTTTGTACTTCACCCCTGTGAAATTACATTAAAAAAATTTTAATTAAAGATTGAAATATCACACATACAATGTATTTTACAACAACACTCATTGGACAACCAAAGGAGACTTTTCTTAAAGGACTTTATGTAACAGAAAAAACTATTTTGAGCACATCACCCCACATCTTCAAATACTGCTGCAGAAGTCCTTTTCTTCCCATGCTTATCAATTACTGGAGTCTTCCCTGCATTGACAATAAAAAAGAAAATATTTTGAAACAAAATATTCCATTTTAGTAATTTTTAATGGTGTAATATCTTAATTTTGAGGACTTTTAGGCTTTTTGGCCAACATAACTTTTTAAAGCAGATATAAATACAGTACTTGCTCTGCAGTTTAGATGGAATTAAATCAGGATCCAGGACCATTTTATAGAAACAATTTTGCAAGTCTTCCTGTGTTAATGTCATAGTAAGCCAGGTTTTTATTTATTTTTATATATTATATATATTTATGCTATAGATAAGTTTACTTATTTATTTATGAAGCAGACATCTGGAGAATAATGACTATAACGGTAAGAAATGCTGTGTAAACTTTTCGAACTCCAAATGAGAAACATGAAGTACATGAAAATGTTTTACAAATAAAGTTTTATTATAGTCTAAAACGTAGTGCATCCCAGACGAATGAACTACAGGACATGGTGACTGCCCAACAAAATTAGATATACTGTACCTTCAGTAACATCCTCCTCTGAACCACTCAGATCTTTTTTATCTTCTTTCTCAAAGTCATAGGCTCTTGTAACCTGATCCTCCATTGACGTCTTCCCAGATTTCCCTGTATGTTTTCTTCCAGAGGGCACCATATTTAGATGTTTTCTGACTTTTAAAAAATAAATCTCTCAAACCTTCTGAATCTAAAGACACCATGTAAGTAAATTGGTAAATTTCAAAATCAGCGATATCAAATAGAGATTGTCTTAGCTGAATAACATTTTAGGAGTCTCCTCACTATATTTTGTTGGCCCAAAATTAACAAAGAAGATAATGACAGCATCGACCCTGATTCCAGTGTGCGGCGATGGAGAGTTGGCATCTGAGGGCTATGAGATCTGAATTTTAATCCGGCCTCTGTCAGATTCTGGCTAAATTCGGGCTAGATTCTAGTTTGTGCATTTCCGTCACAAAGTCAAATTGTAGTTGTTGACAGGTTCGATCCTGTGAGCATGCCCCAAAATAAGTTTACAGCAAAATAAATATAAAATAAAAACGTTCTGCAATCTGTGCTTTGAGAAATAACGATTACGCCTAAGATTTTCACAACACAGACATCGAGGGCAAAGGAAGAGAAGCCCTTAGTTCGTTCTGTTTCTGACGGGTTTGGGGCGGTCACGAGGGAGAGACGCGCAGAGGGACGAAGGCCCACACTGCTCCCCGGAGGATATAAACTTGCCCAGGGCGTCGTGACCAGTCAGACTCCATTCAGCCCTCGCCTTTCCACCCGCCCCTCGCCTGCTTAAGGCCTTGCCCTCAGTGAAGTTCACTGACTTCATTTTCCTGTCAGAGGCCCCAAGTAGAGCCAATAGGAAAGATTTACCTCACAGATCAAGAGTAGCCTCTGGCTCAGACTCTCGCGCTTGACAAAGTCCTCTCCTCACGCCTGAAAAAAAACCCCAATGGCCAAAGACCACCCACAGGTATAGGTCTCCAGACAGGTGTCCCTGCCACCAGCCTCCACCCCCTCCAGCTCCTCACCTGAGACGTACGCCTGGCTAGCGCGACTCTCCTCTGAAACAACTCAGAATTCACGCGGGAGAAAAGCCAGAGTCGTCTCGCCTGAGGGCGTCGCTGATTGGCTGGTGGCTGCGCGCATGCGTATAGAAGGCCACAGGTTCCGCCCCCACGGGCTACTGACCACGAGACCGCTGACCCAGAGCGCCTTGCGGCGGGCCGTGGCCTACACAGGCTGGCGCTCCTGAGGTATATTCCTGTCTAGGTTTCCTTTTTTTCCACTTAAGTTTTTAAATTTTTATATTTGAAAGTTACAGAGTATATACGTTACGAAACATGATGAACATATGATCTAATTTGTGAAGTAGAATTGTACCAGAACCCTTGGCATTTTCTCAGGAAATCCTTTCCATCCTATCCCCGCCCCCAATTCCCCTTTCAGAGATATTGTTTTAATTATCCTGAAAAAGTGTAAATCGTCGTCCCTCCCATTTTCTACGTTTTGTTACTACACATGAATGTCCTTAACCTTGCTTGGTTTTGTGTTTGGGTGATACCAAAAAAAAAATTTTTTTTTTGTGATATTCTGCCACTCTTCGCATGTCACTAAGAATCTATTATTAGCTGTAGCCATATTTCTTTCATTTTCACTGCTGTATGACATTTTATTGTGCCTCACTTCCACAATTTATTCATTGATTTTCTTGACCGTGCACATGTGGGTTGCTTTCAGAGCATAGCCTATATAAACAGTGCCACTATGAAATTCTGATCTCGTGCATATATGCTAAAGTTTTTGCAGAGAATCTAAGTGTGAAGTTGCTAGGTCATAAAATGGATGATATTCAGTAATGCTGAACTGGTTTCCAATTTATGTCCCCACCAACAGAGTGAGTTCCCATTGTTTAGTATACTCACTACTTGGTATAGTCAGATTTCTTTCTTTTTTAAAGATATTATTTATTTATTTGACAGAGACACAGCGAGAGAGGGAACACAAGCAGGGGGAGTGGGAGAGGGAGAAGCAGGCTTCCCGTGGAGCAGGGAGCCCGATGTGGGGCTTGAACCCAGGACCCTGGGATCATGACCTGAGCAGAAGGCAGATGCTTAACGACTGAGCCATCCAGGCTCCCCAGTATAGTCAGATTTCTTATTTTTGCCATTCTAGCAGGTATAAAATGATACTGCTTTGGGGTCTGCAAATTTATATTTCTCCAATCATATGAGATTCATATGTTTTTCTAATGTTAACATTTTTCTAATGTTTTTCTAATGTTAAACCAAACCTACATTCCTGTGATAAACCCAAGTTGATCATGATATATTAGCTTTTTAAGCATGTTGCTATGTTTGGTTTATACAGCATTTTGTGTCCATTTTCATGACTGAGATTGGCTTGTAATTTTCTGCTTTTACCTAGTTTGGAATGAAGTCTATGTACATGACTTGCTCTGTGTTATCAAGTCTTTGTTCAAATGCTAGTATTCATATCAGTAGGCCTTTTCCGCCCCTACTTTTAGATATTGTAAATGCAGACTCTGCACCTTACTTCTCTTTCCCTAGTCCCCTTCCCTATATACCTTTCTCCTAGCACTTACCATTTTTTATTATAAATGTAATTTATTTACTTTATTGTCTTCCCCAAACCCCTTAGAATGTAAACTCTGAAGGGCAGACAGAATTCTATATAGTGTGAAGAACAGATCTAATTTCATCTTTTTCCAAATATCTATCCAATTATCCCAACATCATTTACTAAAACTTCAACCTTTGCCCCCCGCTTGATTTGAAATACTATCTTTATTATACACTAGATTTCCATAAGGAGTTGGGTTAACATCTGGATTTTGTTACATTCCACTGACCTATCATTCATGTACCAGTACCACACTGAATTATAGACACTTGTGAGTGTGTATATATATTTATTAAAGATTTACTTATTATAGAGAGAAAGTGCTAGTGCACAGAGTGGGAGGGGCAAGAGAGAGAGGGGGAGAGAGAGAAAGAATCTCAAGCAGACTCCCTGCTTAGTGGGGATCCCCATCCCCACTCGGGGCTCAAGCTCACCACAGTGAGATCACAACCTGAGCCAAAACCAAGATCGGAAGCTTAACCAACTGCACCACATAGGTGCCCCATGAGCATATTTTAATATTTGATAGGCCTGTTGCCCCTCATAGCTACTTTTTTCAGGGATTTCCTAGCTATTCTTGCATTTTAAAAAATATTTTATTTATTTGAGAGAGAGAGCGAGCGAGCATGGAGAGGCAGAGAGAGAGAGGGAGAAGCAGGCTCCTCGCTGAGCAGGGAGCCCAGTGCAGGACTCAATCCCAGGACCCTGCGAGCATGACCTGAGCTGGAGGCAGACACTTAACCGACTCAGCCACCCAGGCGCCCTTTTGCATTTTTAAAAACGTGACTTTTAGCATCATCTTGTGTCTAAGAAGAAAAACCTTGACTTTTTAAAAGTTTTTATTTAAATTCCAGTTAGTGTACATACAGTGTAATATTAGTTTCAGGTATACGATATAGTGATTCAACATTTCCATAAAACATCAGATGCTCATCACAGCAAGTGCACTCCTTAATCCCCATCACCTGTTTTACCAATCCCCGCCACCTGCCTCCCCTCTCATAACCAGCAGTTTGTTCTCTATAGTTAAGAGTCTGTTTCTTGGTTTGCCTCCCTCTTTTTTTTTTTCCCCTTTGCTCATTTGTTTTGTTTCTTAAACCCCACATATGAGTGAAATCATATGGTATTTTTCTTTCTATGACTGACTTATTTTTCTTAGCATAATACTGTCTAGCTCCATCCATGTCATTGCAAATGGCAGGATTTCATTCTAAAAAGAATAAAAATGGCGGAATAATATATTCCATTCTATATATACCACATCTTCTTTATCCACTCATCAGTTGATGGACAGTTGGGCTGTTTCCATAATTTGGCTCTTGTATACAATGCTACTGTAAACAGGGTGCACATACCCCTTTGAATTAGTATTTTTTATTCTTTAGGTACATACCTTGTAGTGCAATTGCTGGATTGTGGGTAGTAGGTAGTTCGGTGTTAACTTTTGGGGCACCTCCATACTGTTTTCCAGAGTGTCTGCACAAGTTTGCATTCCCACCAACAGTGCAAGAGGTATCCCCTATCTCCACATCATTGCCAACATCTGCTGTTTCTTGTGTTGTTTATTTTAGCCATTCTCACAGGTGTGACATACCTCATTGTAGAGGTTTTGTTTTTTAAGATTTTATTTATTTGCGAAAGAGCGTGAGCTGGAGGGGGGATGACACAGATCTTCCAACCCATGAGCGTGGAATGTTTTTCTATTTCTTTGTGTTGTCTTCAATTTCTTTCATCAGTGTTTTATAGTTTTCAGAGTGTACAAGTCTTTCATCTCTTTGATTAGGTTTATTCCTAGGTATCTTACTGTTTTGATGCAATTGTAAATGGGACTGGTTCCTTAATTTCTCTTTCTGCTGCTTCATTATTGGTGTATAGAAGTGCAACAGATTCCTTTTTTTTTTTTAAGATTTTTATTTATTTTGAGAGAGAGTGCATGCATGAGAGAGCACAAGCAGGGTTAGGGGCAGAGGAAGAGGGAGAGGGAGAAGCAGACTCGCGGTTGACCAGGGAACCTGATAGAGGGCTCAATCCCAGGACCCTGGGATCATGCCCTGAGCCACCCAGGTGCCACTGGAAATGCAACAGATTTCTGTATATTGATTTTGTATGCTACAACTTTACTAAATTCGTGTATCAGTTCTAGCAGTTTTTTGGTGGAGTCTCTCAGGTTTTTTATATAGAGTATCATGTCATTTACAGGTAGTGAGAGTTTTACTTCTTCCATGCTGATTTGGATGCCTTTTATTTCTTTTTGTTATCTGATTGCTGTGGCTAGAACTTCCAGGATTGTGTTCAGTAACAGTGGTGAGAGTAGACATCCCTGTCCTGTTCCTAACCATAGAGGAAAACCTCTTAGTTTTTCCTTATTGAGGATGATATTAGCTGTGAGTGTTTCATATATGGCCCTTATTATGTTGTATCTTCCCTTTAAACTTACTTTTTTTAGGGTTTTTATCATGAATGGATGTTATACTTTGTCATATGCTTTTTTTGCATCTATTGACTGATCATATGGTTATCCTTTTATTAATGGGGTGTATCACATTGATTTGTGAATATTGAACCACCCTTGCAACCCATGAATAAATCACACTTGATCAGTGGTGAGTGATTCTTTTAATGTATTGTTGGATTCAGTTTGCTAGTATTTTATTGAGAATTTTTGCATGTTCATCAGGGATTTGGCCTGTAGTTGTTTTTTTTTTTTTTTTTTTTTAGTGGAGTCTTTATCTCGTTTTGGTATAGGGTAATGCTGGCCTCATAGAATGAATTTGGAAGTTTTCCTCCCTTTTCTTTCTTTTTTTAAAAAAGATTTTATTTATTTATTTGACAGAGAGAGACACAGCGAGAGAGGAAACACAAGCAGGGGGAGTGGGAGAGGGAAAAGCAGGCTTCCCACGGAGAAGGGAGCCCGATACGGGGCTCCATACGAGGACTCTGGGATCATGACCTGAGCTGAAGGCAG